CAGTCCATCATTTGAAAAATGGCAACTTTAACCTTGGTTTAAGGCAGGGTAGGCAACCTAAGGCCCAGGGGCCGGATGCAGGCCAATCGCCTTCTCAATCCAGCCCGCGGACGGTCTGGGAATCAGCATGTTTTTACATGAGTAGAATGTGTGCTTTTATTTAAAATGCATCTCTGGGTTATTTGTGGGGCCTGCCTGGTGTTTTTACATGAGTAGAATGTGTGCTTTTATTTAAAATGCATCTCTGGGTTATTTGTGGGGCCTGCCTGGTGTTTTTACATGAGTAGAATATGTGCTTTTATTTAAAATGCATCTCTGGGTTATTTGTGGGGCATAGGAATTCATTCTTTCTTTTTTCAAAATATAGTCCAGCCCACCACATGGTCTGAGGGACGGTGGACCGGCCCACGGCTGAAAAAGGTTGCTGACCCCTGGTTAAGGAGCCATTTGACACCTAGCTTATATATCCGAGTTTCTAACACAGGGAGGGAGTCAAGTGCCTACCGGAACTTTAGGATTTGCCCTAACGCAACAAATCCAGGTGTTTTGGGGTTTTTTTAATGGACTTTCTGCAGTTTGGAAAGCAACAGGGAGACCCAATGTAAAGTGTGAAGTGAACAAACGTTTAACAGGAAGCTGTGAAAACACTCTACAAGCAACTTGGGATGAACGCTTGTTATCGTATAACCACCCCGTAAACGAATCAGAACAAACGCTCAATAAGCATAGGATAGCATCTAACCTCTGCAGCACACACTTTCTACCCGCAAATCAGAATGCTTTAAAAAGTGGGTTGCCTGCAGCAGCCCCTATGACCTGCAAATGCTGTACCCCTTCCACACTGTCTCAGTCCCTCGCCTATAATAGGGGGAATGGATCTTTGCAATTCAAAGAGTCTCACTGACACTCTCATGAAGCTTTAGGAATCACATGAAGGCCCAGACATTTTAACAAGAACAGGGACTATATACGATTTTTATAATGGTGTTTTTTTTTAAAAAAATGAATGCAATTTTAAAATGCCATTTTAGCCGTGCTGCGTGCTGCTATTGCAATTTTACAGTTTTTGAGTAGGCAACTTTAAAATGTTTGAGGTTTGTTTATTATTTTCATATTTCTGCTCTTAGGAATTTTGTTTTAAATTTAAATTAATCAAATTGAAAAGCAGGCTATAAATACTCAGAACCATATCTATTCATGTTTATTCTGAGCATAAGGGTTACCGAATTATCTGAAACATTTAAGCCCTTGGGGAAAAACACTACATGAATATTAAAAGTATGCAGTCCATATGTACATGTCTCAAAGAATATAGATAAGTCCAATAAATGTGTGAGGTATGAATGATTCAAAATTATTTTAGCTGTTCCAAGTTTTAGCTTAAAGCAAGTATGAGTAGCTTCCTTATTCTTGGAAAATACTATAATCTCTGGCCAGTAGTCCACAGATCTGAGGGAGGCACAGGTAGGTGCTAGGCCCAAAAACTATTCTGCGTTTCTTCCAACCATTGTTCAGCAGTTTAGGAGAACGGAAATTGTATCCAAAAATGACCAAAGGGCACAGTAAATTTGGGTGAAATCCTGATGTGAACGTCCTTATATTCTACAAGTCATTTTTCCAGTGGTCTGCCATCTGCAGCCTCTTTTCTTCTGCCTGTGTTTCTTCTTAAAAAACAAAACCATGACATCCTCAGCTAAACTTTCTTGCAAACAAGGTGGGGAGACAGCCTACTATGTACCTGGCAGCTGTGCCTCAAAAAAAGAAGTTAATGTCTTTTAAAGTAAACTACTTTTAAATCAGGGACGCGGGTGGCGCTGTGGGTAAAACCTCAGCGCCTAGGACTTGCGGATCACATGGTCGGCGGTTCGAATCCCCGCGGCGGGGTGAGCTCCCGTCGTTCGGTCCCAGCTCCTGCCCACCTAGCAGTTCGAAAGCACTCTTAAGTGCAAGTAGATAAATAGGTACCACTTTATAGCGGGAAGGTAAACGGCGTTTCTGTGTGCTGCGCTGGTGCCGGTTCGCCAGAGCAGCTTCGTCACGCTGGCCACGTGACCCGGAAGTGTCTGCGGACAGCGCTGGCTCCCGGCCTCTAGAGTGAGATGAGCGCACAACCCTAGAGTCTGTCAAGACTGGCCCGTACGGGCAGGGGTACCTTTACCTTTACCTTTACTTTTAAATCAACAAGGTGGAAATAGTTCTTTAAAAAGAAAGCTAACAGGAAGGGCTTCCCTTAAACACAAAACCAACAAGTACACCAATCCCGGGTTTCTATCCAACATAGCACTGTGTAACTGTCATGAATGTTGCCAAATTAACACATATTTGGTGGGAATGCGCCAAGTCTCGAGCTTGTTTGGTCATATAAATCAGAAACCGCCCCAAAGCAGAAGCACAATGGAAGGGGTCCGCAACACCCCCAGTCATTTTGTCGGAAATGGCAATGAACATGACTTTTTAAAAAAACAAGTTGTGTCCTTTCACCCCAGAGAGATCATTAGACAAGCAGCAACCAGCAGACACGGAATTAATTGTTGACAAGTAAGATTAGCATTGGTGCTATCAAAAATAGATAAGAGTCATGACACACTGGCCAAGGAGACCTGTTTGCCAGCGGTAATGCCAATTTCCGCTACAACTGGCTTCCAGAACTTGTGTACATAGTTACATCCCCATCACATATGGCAGTATGTTCCTAGTCGTACTTTACAACCCTGCCGGCACAAGAGGGAACCAGATCTTACAATATGAGCTAGCCGGACCAAGGTAAAAAAAACGGTGGTTGACCGCCTTCAAAGAAGTATCCCTAAAGTCAGCAGACATGGACCTAAAGGGACAAATCTTGGAGGTTTAAGATCTGGTCCATGCATGTGGCTTTTTCTGGTCAGTAGTGCAAGCAGGTGGGGGGAGGCTGCAGAGAAACACTTTGTGAAGAGAGAAACACCAGCAACAGACGCCTCACAATAATTACCGTAGGTCAAGTGCACCCAATGAAATTCTCAGGAGCCTTAAGGAAGAGACAGAGAAACTGTGTGTGTGTGTATTTAAAAAGGTTTTAGCCCACCACTAGGCCCAGTCATCAAGGGACGCGGGTGGCGCTGTGGGTTAAACCACAGAGCCTAGGACTTGCCGATCAGAAGGTGGGCAGTTTGAATCCCCACGACGGGGTGAGCTCCTGTTGCTCAGTCCCTGCTCCTGCCAACCTAGCAGTTCGAAAGCACGTCAAAGTGCAAGTAGATAAATAGGTACCGCTCCGGCGGGAAGGTAAACGGTGTTTCCGTGCGCTGCTCTGGCTCGCCAGAAGCGGCTTCGTCATGCTGGCCACATGACCCAGAAGCTGTACGCCGGCTCCCTCAGCCAATAAAGCAAGATGAGCACCGCAACCCCAGAGTCGGCCACGACTGGACCTAATGGTCAGGGGTCCCTTTACCCTTTACCTAGGCCCAGCCATCAGCACTCTCAGGCAGCTGCAAAGGGCCTGAACCCCAGTAACCAGGCCCACTGGTACTGATGCAGGCCCTGAAGCCTGGAGCCTGGTGGTGGCAGCAGCAGTAGAAAGCAGCCATTTTAATTTCCCACTAGTGCCCTGACATGCCATGGCTCCCTTTCTGGCTATAACCAATGCCCTCTTACTTAGACCACTTGCATTTCCATGTTAACAGCTCTTTCGTGTTTTGTTTATGTAGTGATCCCACCTAGGACCAAGTCCATGAGGGTACCATCACCTAAAACCGGTAGGCTTTACTTCCAAATAAACCTGCCAAGTATCAGGCTGTCAAAATTTCAGGATCTATTATCAGGGCTTTTCCCCCCAGATGGAACTTGCAGGAACTCAGGTCTGGCATCTTTCAGGTGGGCGCCATTGCCATTCTAAGAGAACAGGTGAGTTCCGGCACCTCTTTTTCTAGAAAAACAGTACTGCACACTTTGTTAATTTGGGGGCATTCTGTTACTTAAAAGGCCAAAATGCATTCTTTACCCACACTGTCAAAAGTAGCGGTGGTGGGAAATATTGCTTAGCAAACTTTGGGGAGTACACAGGGCAAGGGGGTGTCCCCAAACCAGAGCTAAATACCCAAATTTTCCCTTGCTCGCTTGCCTTTTTTTGTTTCTCAACTGGTGCCACTCCAGCTGCTGCTGCTGCTGCAAACTTTTCGACATCCCTACGGGACTAGAAACCCAAAACGAGTCTAACGATTTCCTGCGAGATTACCCGCCAGGATGAGGAATGCCCGAAACCCAGAAGATGACAGGTGGCTTGAATCATCCCTGCGCCCATTCCCAGGGCGGCGCTGCACAGGTATGCGCAATCCTGAAACCCGGGCGGCAGCGGCGGAAGGGCCTGCGGAAGCTGCCCTTCTCCAAACTTCCCAGCAAGTTGCAAGCTACTTTTTTTAAAAGAGAGGAAAGGCGTGTGTGCCACCAAAGCGGGAACAGGAGAGGGTGTGCGCGCGTGTCCGAGCTAAACGCAGAGAGGCGCTGCCAAGAGCAGGAAATGATCCTTTCAACTTGCTGAGAAACTTACATAAATCCTCTTGGCAGGCAAAGGGGGCTGCGCAAGCCAGACTGCAGCGCTCCCTCCAAGCGCCTGAGGCCGGCTTCAGGGAGGGAAAGAGGACTCTCTTTCCCCCCCCCCCCGGCTGCCCAGACCCCATATAGGGCGGCCTGTTGCGCAAAGTGGTTTCTTTTCCCGTTCCAAAAGCGCAAAGCCTCGGCGGGGTCGCTCGCCTTTTGGCGCTCAACTGTGCCAAGCGCGCGCCTCCTCCTAACCCCCGAGGCAAACCAAGCCAGGAGCGCGCTCGCTCGCTCGCGCCCGCCATGTCAGCTCCAGACATTCTTGGGGGGACGCGCGTTCATCTCCTCGCAACCCGCCACCCCCACCCCCCACCTCCTTTCCCACCCAGTCAGGAGAAACACCCGGGCTTCTTTCTCCTCCGGCGAAATCTCCACCCACCACAACGCCGAGCCCGCCAGGCTTTGCAGCAGAGCGCGCTTTCCCTTACCTTCCCGGAGGGACCCGCCGAAGAGGGAAGCGGCCAACTTGTCCCGAGCAACTCCGCTTTCACCCCGCGGGACCTCGGCTGGCTCCCCTGGGCGCGCGCGTGAGCGTGTGAGTGCGAGTGTGCGTGCCCCGGCTCTCCCACGCTTCCGGTTAATGTCACAAGGAGTCACACCACAACCCAGCCTTCCCAAGTACCTTCCGAGCTTGCAAGAACAGCACCACCCCGCGCCCGGCCAGGCTAGGAGCCGAGGGGCAAAGCACGGCCCGCCCACTTGGCGGCTGGCTCCCAGGCAGCTGCGGAGTTTCCCCACATCACTGGGGAGTCGAGGGCGACGTTAATCCCTCGCGCTCTTTCCCGTCCCCAGCACACCGACCGGGGGTGGGGGGTGGATAAAAGATACTCGAGAGAGCCAACTTTATATTTAGCCCAACTAAGCCCCTGTCAAATTCGAAGGCAAGAGCCCAACAGAATAGAATAAACTGCATTTCTCCACAGAAATGTTTAAATGCCCTGTTCCGGCCTCGTTTGCAAATCAATGCAAGCCTAACTTACTGTTTTATAAATACTGCTGAGGCGAGGTTATTTGTGTGTGCACGTTTAGAAAAAACGTTTTCCCAAGATTTCCTGGCTAATGGCACCAGCTTTTTTCTCATTCAAGCATAAACAGTTACAAAAACAAAAAAAACCTGCGGGAGAACCTATATTTGATATAAGGAGACTTGCCATCGTGTGGCTAAAAACTCCCAGGCTGCTCCAATCACGTGCCTTTTTAGAACTTGTTCTTTTGGATTCGACAAAACTTTGAAGGGAGACATGAACATATTTGTTACATACTTTAATCTAAGGGCCAAACTTCTAGTTGCACTATTTGGTCTCCTAAAGACGACACAAAATAACTGGTCACTCTTCTTTTGAAAGAAAAAGCACCCATGCAGCCTTCAGTCTGAATGTGCTCTCACTTCAGGTCTACTGAGAAACAAAACAAACAAGCTGCTATTTGCCCCCAAATATGCCGTTTTAAAATACAACTGTGTAATGCGGAGCTACAACATAAAAACTCCCACCAAAGCAGCATCATTTTTTTCCTCCTACTCTTAATGTAATAATTAAGGTTGGGGTGTAACTCACAGAACTTGAATCACCACATGACATGCCTACCCAGCGGCAGACAGAAATTGTTGGCTTTGATTTGGTTTGTCAGTGTTCCTCAGGTGTTTTCAATGTGGGGGTGGGGGGCATGTCTAGAAGAGATCCTTCCACTCGTTTGTGTGCAGGTAGCAAAAGTGGGCAACCTGTGGCTCTTGGCCTAATTATCATCATCATTATTATTATTATTTATTAAATTTCTATACAGCCCTATACCCGTAGATCTCAGGGCGGTTCACAACATAAGGTCATGCAGCTCTCAAATTAATGCAAGTGGCAAGGGAATTTTTAATTTCATCTACTGCGCCCGCCCCTTGGTGCTGATGTAGTATATGTTGCTGTTGTTAATTCTGCTGCCTGGTCTTTGACCGCAATAAAAGACCGATTGATTGAACAGCAGAGAGACAGAGAAAGGGATGATGCAAAGACAGATAAAAGACAGTCTTTTCGTTCTGCCCCTGGCCATCGTTGACTTTGGACCCAGACTCCTACCGGCCTATGTTGCCTGACCAGGTGAATGTGGTAGCCCTAAACTGCCTGCTGCTGCTGCATGCAAGGATTTGTGGACTGAGGTGCTGAACAAAGCCAACAATTGTAAGAGAAGAATAACAGTGACCGTATCCCTGGATCACCTGTCACTTCTTGGAACTTTGTGCTTGGCCTTGAGGTCACTAGGTCTGCTCCACAGCTTTGAGTACCAGTCATGTATGGAGAAGCTTCTTCTTGTTGTTGTTTAGTCATTTAGTTGTGTCCAACTCTTCGTGACCCCATGGACCAGTGTTCCACTGCTTCCCGCGGTTTGGTCAAACTCATGTTTAGTAGCTCCGAGAACACTGTCCAACCATCTTGTCCTCTGTCGTCCCCTTCTCCTTGTGCCCTCCATCTTTCCCAACATCAGGGTCTTTTCCAGGGAGTCTTCTCTTCTCATGAGGTGGCCAAAGTATTGGAGCCTCAGCTTCAGGGTCTGTCCTTCCAGTGAGCACTCAGGGCTGATTTCCTTAAGAATGGAGAGGTTTGATCTTCTTGCAGTCCATGGGACTCTCAAGAGTCTCCTCCAGCACCATAATTCAAAAGCATCAATTCTTCGGCGATCAGCCTTCTTTATGGTCCAGCTCTCACTTCCATACATTACTACTGGGAAAACCATAGCTTTTACTATACGGACCTTTGTCGGCAAGGTGATGTGTCTGCTTTTTAAGATGCTATCTAGGTTTGTCATTGCTTTTCCTCCCAAGAAGCTAAGTAAACGCAATTATCAGTAGCAGTTAGTGGGGCAGCCTTGCTTATCCGGCTTCCCAGTGCAGTACCCAAGATGGGAGAGGCCGCAGTGCTGTTGGTGTGGGTGCAGCAGCAGGTGCATCAGAATGGCTCAGCTGCTGCAGCAACATCACTTTGACCTTGTCTTGGTTACCAGCAGCCACCTCTGCATTAGGAAGCCAGGTAATGAAAGCAACCCCACTCTGCACTGCTGGGAATAATGCACCACAATTTGGAAGGGTCTCCGATGCACGGTAACCAGAGTGAAGTTGGACATGAGGATGGTGTTCTAAAAGTGGGTGGGTGGTTGTTGTTTATTTAACACCTGCCCACTTCCTGCTGGGGATTAAACTTTCAGTGACAGGTCCTGTCCCCCAGCACCACATTTGCAGAGGGAAAGAGAGCCAGTGTGGTGTAGTGGTTAAGAGCGGTAGTCACGTAATCTGGGTAACCAGGTTCGCGTCTCCGCTCCTCCACATGCAGCTGCTGGGTGACCTTGGGCCAGTCACACTTCTTTGAAGTCTCTCAGCCCCACTCACCTCACAGAGTGTTTGTTGTGGGGGGAGGAAGGGAAAGGAGATTGTTAGCCGCTTTGAGACTCCTGAAGGGGAGTGAAAGGCGGGATAACAAATCCAAACTCCTCTTCTTCTTCTTCTTCTTCTTCTTCTTCTTCTTCTTCTTCTTCTTCTTCTTCTTCTTCTGTCTAATCCACTATCTGAGATCAATGGATTCTGAGGTATTCTACAGGCCCTGGGGAAATTTTCCTGCTGGTGTGGCTGTTGAAATTCTGGTGGCTTTGTAGAATGCAGAGCTGACACAATTGCTTCCAAGCGCCATCTCTCCCAATGAGCAGAACTCTCTTGCATATGCCCCCCCCCCGCCCCAGTGCAAAGAAGCAGTCTGGGAGATGGCTTGACTGCAAGTAGCAAAAGCGTTTTGTTTTAAATCCTCCTGAAAAAATTATCAGTATTTTTGTGCTAATTTATCTTATGATACAGATGTTTGTATGTAATCTTGCCTAATATGCACATTTTTGCAGAACACTTTCCAACAGAATGCATCTTTGTATGTTATTTTCACCGATAGTGTGTGTATTTTTGTGCACATCACTTGGCTAGAGAAATGCAAAATTAATAGAAGTGCTAATTAAGATGGCCTGTGTTTTGATCCACATGTTGTCCCAGAAAATGCAACTTAAGTAGGCCTGTCTTTAAACAACCAAATGGAATTTCCCCCTGATCTCTATAAACGCAAGCAAGAGCTCATTATTGAGCCAGTAACTGAAATGTGTTGTTACCTGTGGCTAACTGTGAAAACTTCAGTTGGTACAAAATATGCTTGCTGACTGACATGGTACATTGCACATACAGTGGTACCTCAGGTTACATATGCTTCAGGTTACGTACGCTTCATTTTACAGACTCCGCTGACCCAGAAATAGTGCTTCAGGTTAAGAACTTTGCTTCAGGATGAGACCAGAAATCAGGCTCCGGCGGCGCAGCAGCAGCAGGACGCCCCATTAGCTAAAGTGGTGCTTCAGGGTAAGAACAGTTTCAGGTTAAGAACGGACCTCCGGAACGAATTAAGTACTTAACCTGGGGTACCAGGTTAAGTACTTAACCTGATTTTGACAGTGCTGTTTTTCTAGAAAAAGAGGTGCTGGAGCTCACCATGAATGCTTAGAATGGCTCGCTAGAATGGCAATGTGCCACCTGAGAGGTGCCGGAAGTGAGTTCATGTGAGTTCTGGCTGAAAAAAAGCTCTGGGTTTTTGACATGGGCGTAGCCAAGTAGGGAGTAGGGGACAACTGCCCCCCAAATCAATACAAATCAATGCAAATATGAGGTTCTGCCCCCCAACAAAAGCCTGCCCCCCCGAAAAATCCTGGCAACACCCATGGATCTTGACCTCAGTACTTGAAGGGTCACCTCTCCTCTCAGACCTAGACATCTTCATCTGAGGCCCTTCTTGATGTTTTATCATGTTGTTGTTGTTGTTCTGTTGGGAGCCACCCAGAGTGGCTGGGGAAACCCAGCCAGATGGGCAGGATATAAATTTATTATTATTATTATTATTATTATTATTATTAGCCTCTGAGGGAAGTAGCTTTATTTATCGGTGGCATCTTGGTAGCTTCCCATATTTAACATCCAACACTCTCTCTTTCACATACACACAAAGCACAACTCATTCTACCTCTGTGGTAGGTGATGTGAGCAGCAGGAATTTCGAAACTTCCTCTCCCTGCAACCTCTCTCTTCCGTCTCCCCACACTCCTTGGTTGGTTAGAGGCTAATCACCTAGGAGTGGTGGGTCCCAGAGAACAGGTGTGGGGTCTGGCTAAATGGGAAGCCCCTAGACTGGAAGTTCCCTTCTCTGCCCCTCGTATCACCCCACTGATGTTTATTACTGGCTGCTGCTAACTACAGGAGCAGCTGTGGCCTTTTTGACTCACCAATATAGATCTCTGGGTATTCATATCTCAGAAAAAATATTGCATGACTGTTGCCTCAGATACTGTGACTATTCCGCTCGCCTCTCTCTACCACCTCCCCACACCTTTTAGTCTGAGGCAACTGTGAATTTATTCAAACAACTTGCTAATATATTGACATAGAGCACTCTGACGCACACAGGCAGTTGCCTCAGCCTCACTTCATAATTAAATCGATGTCTGCATCTTAGTCCATAGGGCAGGATGCCTCAGGGGAGGACTCATAAATAATGTTAAGGACGCCAAGACCAGTTTTAAAACACAAGCTAGGTGGTTTTATGATATTTATCAGCTATGCCAAACATCAAGCTATTTCCCGGTCTGGATCTTGAATAGCTTGAGACCAGTCATTCAAACTGCAATGCAATAAAATACAACATAAGAAACAAAAGTGTTA